TGAAAGAAAAAATGTCCAAGGTGAGAACATTTTTTTTATTGGTTTCATATATATGAGTGTCTATGCAAATTCTTTGTGGGACTGAAAATGTCATTGTCTCTTCCTTCTATGCCAAAATAGTGAATTTTGAAGTTTTATTCAGTAAATTCAATAAACGAAAGTTCTGTAATGCAGTCATTCTAACTATTTTTTTGTTTGAATGGATTGTTGTCACTTTTTTCACGTTTTGAATGAATTGTTTCTTTTATTTTTATGTATGGTTAATAACCGAATAACCGAACCAAATCAAACCAAAACCGAAAACAACCAAACCGATAAATGTATATTATATTTGGTTTGGTTTTGATAATTTTAAAACCGATTAAGTTGGTTTGATTTTGATTTTAACCAATAACCGACCCAAACCAAACTGTGAACACCCCTAACCACAAGATTCAAAAGTCTTTTTTATTTTCTAAAACTTCGTGTCAAGTTAAACCAGATCACTCTTTGTGAAAATGAGGGAGTAAATGATTGGGTGAAATAATCGTTTAAAGCGAAAAGAATAAAAAATGTCTTTAAATTATGCAAATTGAATCAAATGCTCTTAGTTAGTAGTTTGGTTTACAAATACACACTAGTAGTTGATAATTTGCCCCAAAAATATTTTTATTATTACTAATGTTTTAAATTATTCTATAAAATAATACACATGGAATCTAGCACACACGAAAAGATGAATCCAGCAACTCAGCGGGGCCCACTATTGTTTAAGCCAATGGAAGCTTCCAGAACCTCGTCAGCATACCAACGAACCAATCAAGTGTTTATACGCTAGCAAACTTGTCTGTCTCTATATTCTTTTTTTTCAACTGAAAGTAAAAAACTAATAAGAAATTAAGAATAAGAATAATTATAAAAATAAAAAACACAAATTTGTTTTATGAATGATTTATCTTTGTTTTGCAACCCATTTCCAGCACATTCCAGCCTTTAGTGCAATATTATTCATTATAATTACCATCATTATCTTACTATTAATTATTCCCTTTTATGAGAATTAGTCACATTTCTAATTATTTATAAGCACTAATTATTCTTCTTCTTTAAGAAAAGTGTGGAATCTTCAAACTTAGCGTTGGAGAAAATTCAGGTTAGCCATTGTCTTAAACTCCCCTCTTAATCTTTGCTTACTCAAACAATCTCATAGGGGTTTCTCTATTTCTTGACTTTTTGGGTTTTTCTTGCCATTTTTACTTATCAAGATTCAATTTTTACTGTTAATTCCAGCACCCTTTGTTCAAATTTGAGCATTTCTTTGCTGTGGAGATGGATAAAAGTTTAGTTGCTTTGAATGGGTATTTGTGTTGTTATGTGAACAGCTTTTAAACTTTATTCAATTTGTTTCTGTTATGAGATATCAACTTTTTTGTTCACCAAATATGTCAAGTATGAAATGTACTGCTAGGATTTGAGATGCTTGTTGCTGGAGTTTATGTGTAATTGGAACACCATGAGATCAATACCCAAAGCCTTGTAGTTGAATTTTTCCGTGGTAGTAGCTCAGTTGGTTGACTAGCTAAACTTTCTCCTTGTTGGTGAGAGCACCATTCCTCGCCTTGTAATCCTCTCCCCCATTTCCCTGGTAAAAAAGAAATCGATTTGAAAACTATGTTGCAGCGTGATGTGACATGGGTGCTGCAACATTTTTGGACAATCTGAGCAACAGTCTGAAAACATTTTATGTGTCTGTATGCATTTCATGGAATTCATAAATAGCTTAAAATTTAGTCTGCACAGGTGGCTTTTCCTGACTCTGAATGTTTTGTGAATACAGCTGCAAATAAATTGTCTTGACATCCATAAATGGAGAAGAAACAGCACATTGCCATATTTACTACTGCAAGCATCCCATGGTTAACTGGAACTGCTGTCAATCCTCTGTTTCGTGCGGCCTATCTTGCAAAGGATGGTAGGATGCAGGTCACTTTGGTTGTTCCCTGGCTGCCGCTGATAGATCAGGAACACTTGTTTCCCAATAATATCACGTTTGATTCACACTTGGAGCAGGAAAAGCATGTCCGTCAATGGGTGGAAGAGAGGACTGGATTTGAGTCGAATTTCAATATACGTTTTTATCCTGGAAAGGTAACTCAAACTCCGAAACAATCTGTCTTAAAGTTATTACGCCGAGAACTCTTTTCTCTTAGAATTGTGGGAGTGTAGCCAATCACATGCTTCAACTAATGGGAGGTTCATTCTTCAGGAGCAAATATTTGTACCATGTAAATTGAAATTTTTTATGCGATTGTCCATCAATGACTATTGATGGTTTGGTTTGTTATGAAAATCAACCAAATAATTATGCTATGCTTTTTGAATTTTTTTTATGAGTTACTCTGCTCTACTTCCCCCCCTTACCAGGATGATTTTTAGTGTGCCGGAGGGAACCTGCTCTGCATGCATTTAGAATGTTATATATTTACTTTATAAAGTTTTGTGTATCCCTCAAAATAACGATTTTGTCTTCACTTCCTTAGATTGGTTGAAAACAAATAGTAATTCATTTCCTATAGAAGTTGTTCTCCAGATTCCAACTATGGTTCGTATATTTTCCCCCCTTCTTCATGGAATGGTAAACCCGAACTCTGTTAATAATCATATCTAAAGTGCAATAACAACAAGTTTCAGGAAAAGAGAGGGATAACCTAGTCGTAAGGACCTTCCAGCTCTCTCTTTTGATCTACTTCTTGAATTACAGTCATTTCTTCAATGGTAAGATTTTAATATGAACTCCTGGAGGGGCATTCCTCTCATGTTGAAAAATAGTCGTGCAGCTTATTTTAGTATATCGATACTTGTATTTTGTACAATGGATATGCTTCTGGAGTGCTGTATTAGAAATGAAGTGTTGCATTTCTATAATGCAGTTCTCTCTAGATAAAAGGAGCATTCTTGCTTTGGGCGATATTACAGTAATTATACCAGATGACGAAGCAGATATTGCAGTCCTTGAGGAGCCCGAGCATCTTACATGGTATCATCATGGGAAGAGATGGAAAGAAAAATTTCGTCTGGTTGTTGGAATTGTTCACACCAATTATTGGGAGATTGTCAGGAGAGAGAGGAACATATTGGTAGCCCTCCTGATAAAGTACATTAATGGCTGGGTAGTCGATATATATTGCCACAAGGTATGATGATACTATTCTTTGGTAATTATTTGTTTGTTTAGAGGATCTATTTGGGAGAGAGGAAATGTAACACTTTTTGACATTTGGCACTTTAATGTAGTGATGTTTTTTCTCTGTTTTGGTTAACCTTGTTAAGTTTGAATTGCGGAAATATGCTTGCATATTAGTTTCCATTCCAAACACTAATAAGCTCAAGAGTTGGAAACTGTGCAGTTCGTTTTGCATGCTTTGGCGCACTCAGACTTATATAGGAAATGATAATCACTTAGTTGGGCTGATTTGTCGTACTATAATTAGTAACCACAATCTTTTGTTATCTCCTTTTTGTGGTGCAACATGGCTTCATTCAATGATGTAAAACCCATGATTGACCTTTTGAGCTCTTCACACAACCTGTAATAACTTGTACTATACGTACTGCCTAGCATACTCCTATTGCTGGTAATAGATAAAACTGTCTTTTACTGATTAAAGGAAAAAACATGGTCTTTTGGTATTTTACGTGTAATGCCTTAGACTTATAGAAGTTGCTTGCATTAAATGGCAGGTCATCCGGCTATCTGCTGCAACCCAGGATCTACCGAGATCTGTGGTCTGCAATGTGCATGGAGTTAATCCAAAGTTCCTTGAGATTGGGCTGAAAACTAGGGAGAAACAGCAAAATGATAACCAAGCTTTCAGCAAAGGTGTCTACTACATTGGTAAGAAGTTGTGGAACAAAGGGTACAAGGAGCTACTTGATCTTTTACGTGATCATCAAAAGGAACTTCCTGGATTTGAGATCGATTTATATGGCAGTGGTGAGGATTCTGCTGAAATTGAGGTGGCAGCTAAAAAGTTGGAATTGGCAGTTAGGGTTCATCCTGGACGTGATCATGCAGATCCTTTGTTTCATGAGTAAGTACCTGCAGAGCTATCCACTTTGTACTGTTAAACTGTCTGTCCATACTTATTATATATATCATTTGTCCTGGAAGGGAAATATTCTCTGGGTGGGTATGCATATGCATCCCTTGTTCCTAGAACCTAGTTTATCATGCATGCCTGACCCAATTTGCTGTTTGTAGAGGGAAGCACATACGCCATAAGAGACTATGTATGGACTGAAACCTATGAAATGTGGGCTTAACTTTTTGTTGATTCAGTTTTCTTTTTTCTGTCCCTTTGATAAATTAGTGTTCTTCCATAAACTTAATAGAATCTAAAAGAAGGATAAAACAAACAGTCAAAAGTTAATATTCCAATATATGTTAGATGTTGGATAGGCTACGGAATATTTAGTGAATGAAAGTGCTCTAATAATCTTTGATTGCTAATCGCCTCTTTATCAATCGTTCGTGTCTTTGTCACAAAAGTATAGTTGAAACAGCATGGACCTCTTTAACGTTATGGAAGAAGATGATGATAGAAGTTGCCAGTTGTTACCATCTAAAATGTAGGCTTCATGGTTCTTGTCATGCTTGTTTTAACAGATTTACTCTTTCCTTATCTTTGCTTCCTTTATAGACAAAGTAAAGTGTATCCCACAAGTTGAACAATGAGGCCTTACCTTCCACTTGGCATCCTCCTCGAGTTTCAAGTAGTGAATTGGATATCTAACTGGTATATCTTATTACATAACAGAACTGCCACAAACTTTAATGATCAAGTTTCCTTATTAAAAGCGCCTTTTAGAGCTAGCAAGAAGAATAAATATAGCAATCTTATTCTGGAATGAATATTTTGCTAGTACGAGATCCCTAATCTGAAAAATCAGAAAAGCTAAAGAATGTAGGAAAAAGGAAACATCTGCATCCCGCTAATCATATTTCCCAAGTTAGTAATTCCTTGTTCTTCCAAAGTATTGACGAAGAATTAAGGAATAACCATAAGCTTTCACTCCTTGCATTTGTCTTCATCAATGATGATCTACCTTGTTATTACACTAAATCTTTTATTTCCTTTCTCCCCAAAAATATTTAGAAATGTGGAGTGAGATGTAAATGTGCCTGGTCTATCCCCATCTGAGATGAAGATTAGTTAGATCATTAGTTTCTGTGACAGTTAGATATACATTAATGATTTAGGGAGTCCATGGATACTTTTGTTATCTTAAAGATTAATTTGGGCCTTAACTTTGTATCATAGGATCTCTCAATGTTGGTTAAAACCTACCTCGAACCTCCATCCTTTTTATAAAGTTTTGGAAGATAAACATATTTTGGGACTTGGAAAGACAGGCATTCACTTTCAGATGGACCTTATTATTCATGGGACAGAAACTTTCTGATGAATATGAACCATGCTAAAATCAGTGGTCCATAGATCCTATCTTGTTCGTTCCTTTTCTTGTTTGATATTTTGTTATCTCAAGGCGTAATTTAATTTGTCGGACATGTTAGTAAAGTCTGTGTACTTTTCACTGTAGGGAGCTTAATATTTTCTTTCTTTCGTCGTTTTCTGATTCTTTTTTTTTTCTTTTGGTTTTAGTTATAAGGTGCTCCTTAATCCAAGTACCACAGATGTAGTTTGTACAACCTCGGCTGAAGCATTAGCTATGGGCAAGATAGTTGTATGCGCCAACCATCCGTCAAATGAATTCTTCATGCAGTTCCCAAATTGTCGAACATATGATGATGGTGAGGGGTTTGTTAAAGCTATAGTCAAGGCATTGTCTGATGAGCCTGCCCCCTTGACTGATGCACAAAGGCATGCACTTTCTTGGGAAGCAGCTACCGAGCGCTTTCTGAAAGCAGCAGAGCTGGATACTCTGCCAACAAAGAATCAATCAAAAACTACCACTTCAGAGCCTTTTCTCTCTACATCACTAAACTTAACCAAAAAACTCGAGGATGCATCAGCATTAGTTCACTTCGTAGGGACTGGATTTCTGAGCTCACAACCTGATGAAGAGCAATGTAAAGAACTCGGCTTGAAAGTTCCTCCAAAGAGAACAGGCTTTTCTTCTGGAAAATGGATCTAAGACTGAGTCCAGAGTCTGGCAAGGCACATAATTTCGTCGTTACTGATTGTAGTATTGCTTGTGTTTGACTGCCAAGAATAATTTAGGAGTAACTTTTGTTGTTGTAATGAAGGGTTTAAGGTGTTAGGTGTTGTATATTAAGTAGCCGATTCCAACTTATTTGGGATTTGAGGCACTGATGATTGATAGTAAGAAATATTATTCTCTTGTACATACTATCTAGGTGGCTTTATTCAACTTTATTTATTTGGAGAAAGGACTAATCAACCATTGTTGGTCTTATGATGTCTTCAATGTTAGATAATTGAATGTTTAAATACAAAGAATGTTTCTTTGGAATTACATTTTCGATACCTTGTTACCTTATTAAGATTCGCAAGATAATATTTAGCCCTTCTTGTTTTTACTTATCCATGTTGAGGATTTTCTTATTTGTAATAAAAGGCTATTAGACACTCTGTTTAATTGAATAAATTTGCCTGAGAAAGAGAGTATATTTTTCTTAATGTAATGATAACAAGAAATTTATAAAAAAAACTATTACGTTCTTCTTAAGATGGATATTTAATGATGAAAATGTAAATTTTTTTTTTTTTTTTGGGTGAGGGTGTGGTGGGAGGGGTGGGGGTGGGGGGTTTGCATCTTTAACTAAAATAGTGAGCCAATAAATTTAATCTATTAAGATTGAAGAATCTTAGTAGCTTGGCCAGATGAACCTCCATGTTAATGGTGAGAGTTTAACTTCGCACCTTGTTATCCCCTTCCCATTACCCTTTCCCCTACCCCTAACTTAATATATTTCAAAAAAAAAAAACCCTATCGAGATTAATACTTTAAGTAGATTAAAAAGTAGCTACTACCTAGTGAATCAGTTTTTTAACAAATGAATGCATATGGAGATCGATAAGGAATAAAAGTTAAGGTTTACATATCTTTGAAAGATTGTCAAATTAAAAAAAAACTAACTAATTTAGCCATGCAAGAAATTTAACTTTCAAAAGTAAGTTTATGTCAACCAAAGAATTATAGGGAATCTTAGTAGTTTAGTTGGTTAACTGTTGACATCTAATTTTGGCTTAACATTTTCAAAATTCGTAATTTTTAAATTTTATTTATTTAATAGTTCAAAATACATTTTTTTATAATTTTAAAAAAAAATTATCGATAACTATCCTTATTTGTCAAAATTTAGGATTTTTTATCAGTTAATTTTAATTACATTATTTTTTGTCACAGCCAGTTGAATATTTATTCATTTTGATTAAATCGTTATTTTTGTTAAATTGCATTTTTTACATGTCATTAGTTACGTTTATTACAATTTGTTAGTATTCATTTTTATTCGTTATATTTGTTAATATTTATTTTGATATTTTGCGCAGTTTAGAAATTCATTCAAATACGAATAAAATTCACATATACGAATTGATCAATGATTTAAGCCACAATCTCAAGTCCACGATTTGAGTCCATTATATAACAAATTTATATTGGAAAAATCACCTCATATACACATTTAAGAGTCAATATTACAGGTTTTAAATCTACTTTTAAAAAATTACTTGATTATAACAGTTTAATTACGGGTTATAACATATCACTAATTATTTATAAATTAATTAAATTTTACTTTATTAAATAAGTAATTTTTTATAATTTTATATTATTATTAAATTATTTAAATAAAGAATACCCATAATTATCTCTTACACAATTATAGGGATTTTACATTGATTACACTTCCTTATTTTAATGTTATACTCATAACCTCCCATTAGTCAATCCCACCACCCTTCCCCCACATCTATCCAACTATACACGCTATCACCCCGCTTTCACCTTCTTCTCTCCCATTTTTCTCACCAGCCAACTACATCAAC